CCCCCCCCCCCCTCCCCCGTGTTTCTCACCATGGGTATGTTTCTTGTGATGCGCGTGTCGAGAGCGACCTCCTCCACTCCGAAGTCGATGGACCCCGGCAGTGCGATGATATCGTCGAAAGTGAACCCTGCAACAAAATACAAACCCACCCACGAAGACCACCCCAACAGCAAACCGAAGAAAGAGAGAGAGGGCTAAACAAACGGGTACAACAAAAACACCTCTGCTTGCAAAACAACGGCTTCGGCGACGCCATCATCGCCCCCTGGCTCAACATTGTTGTGCCGAGACCGGGGACGACAAGCCACAGCAGTCCCCCAGACCACCACACGGGCCTCCCTTCCTCTGTCCCACACTACCAAAAAACACCAGAAACAACCGACGAGAGAACACGCAACCAGCGGAGCACTAAACAGTAGCCTTTGCGAGGTCTTGAGGTATTAATTAAGCTAGGTTTTCCTCTGCCCCACACTACCAACTAGATTCCACAACAGCCGAGCGGAGGGTTAAACGAGCAGAGAGCACGCAACTAGCGGAGCACTAAACAGTAGCTTTCGCGAGGTATTGAGGTTTTTTAGCTTGGTGTTAGTAGCGGGTGGGGTTGTGGGGTTAGGGTTTGCGTCTCATGGGACAGGGATACAACCCCCCCCCCCTTCTCTAATTTCTCCGAGTAAGTTATATCATCGTGAAGGCGACCCGCGGTAAACACTACCGGTAGGGGACACTAAAGACACCCCCGATTTTCCCACGAGGTAGCTGGGCTTTTCCTCTTACCCCTAGAACCCGGCGTCGCGAAGATGGTCTCCGCGCTGAAGCCGTCTTGCAGCTCCTCCTCGGACAGGGTAACATCTCCGATCGTCACCGACGACATCTCTTCTTCCCCTGTTATAGTCGGCCGGAAAAGTGGTGGTGGATTGGGGCAACAGCGGGCCGGCGGCAGCAGGAAAAAAAAACAGTGCGGCTTGCCGTCGTGTGTTGTCGTTGTCGTCGTCTTCGCATGAGAAACCGTTCCTGTTCTACTATCCGTACTCTGGTCAAACCCACGCCATGAAGACGGAAAATCAAATGAGAGGGACGCGTTATTTAGAGGTCGCCTTGATAGGTGTGTCTGTGAATGCTTGCCCTCGAACGAGAGTGCTTTCAGGTGGTGGATCGGAGGGAGGTGTTGGGTACGAACTGCACGTGTGTTGTAATTGTCCGATAGCAGCAACAAGGGACAACGGCAACGCCAAGCCATCTCCATCCCCCGCGCAAAAATTGTTGGGCGTGCACCCCTCCATCCTGCTGTCTTTTCATTAGCAAATGACGCCTATACTGGCAACAACAGCGTTGGGGAGAGACCGCTCAAATCATATGTGTGAACCTTCCCTCCAATGAGTCTCAGGTAGCAACTAGAGATCATCTCAACCTCTCTGGTTGTTCTCAAGCTCTGGTTGTTCTCAATCTTTGTGTTCTCAAGCTCTGGTTGTTCTCAAGCTCTGGTTGTGTTCAACCTCTGGTTGTTCTCAACCTTTGGTTGTTCGCAACCTCTGGTTTTCCTTAACCTCTGGCTGTTCACAACCTCTGGTGGGTTGGTTCTGCATCTGGTCGCACACACGGCGTGCAATATCGGGCGTTCAAAAAGCATGCAGGTGCTCCGTGTTGGGCTGTTGGTTGCCGTAGGGGGTTCGGCGTTGCGCACGGTGTTCTGTTCGCTGCAACCGTCACACCTTAGGTGCGTTCAACCAGTCGCTAGCTCCAACAGTTCCATTGCCTCCTAACCGGATGCGAGGTAGAAAAATTCCATGAAAATTCCCAGCATTTTACCGTGAACGTTGCACAAGGTACGCATGTATCATCCTACCCGGTCTCGAAGTGTACGGAATGATGAAAGAAGGAATACGGTTCAAGGATTACCTACATGGGCCAATGGATGCAGGGACAAAGCTTAAGGTCAAATTCAGGACTGGGGACATACGCCTTCGAGAACGTCGACGAAGACATAGGACGGTAGACGACGAAGATGACATGTTCAAATGTGATTGTGGCTTCGAATGCGAACACCGTGTTCATGTGTGTAGTCGCGAAATGTCCGTGGTACGAAGAGGAGAGGGAAGTGTACATGACCGAGCTGGGAAAAATACAAGGGAGGTACAGGGAGATGTTTGAGGCATGGAATAGAGAGGAGAGGACGGTAGCTGTACTGGGGAGTAGGAAGTGGTTTGAAAAGGCGGGAAGGGATATCGTTAGGATAGACAGACTAGGGAAGGCATTTTTGAGCCACCTTTGGCAAAGTAGGAAGGAACGATTGGCCATCGGTGATCGGTCCTGTGGGAACAATGCTCCGTCCTCTCGAGGACGCGTGGTCAATGATCTAACCTCTAAGGCATGCAAAACATAAGAGTACGCCCCCCCCCCCCCGGGGGGCATTTTCAAACCTCGGTTACTCTGAGACAAACACAGCAGTAGCACGGTGCCGAAAATGGCGGCGTTGGAACCAACTTGTCGAGAGATTTTCAGAAGACGTATCGCTTGCTTTATGCATCCTTTCGTCGTGGAGCAACAGAGCTTTGTTAAGAATCGGCCCTGATATCTTTGCGGAGTGGGAGAACACCGGGGGGGGGGGGTACTCATAGTCGTGCATGCCGTAGTCGTTAGACCATTGACCTCGCATCCCTACAAAGCCGGGACGGAGCACGCCGGGTTCTCACCGGACCAGGCTCTCACATCACCAAGCGCGAAGCGCCGTGAGGTATTCGGCGAGTCGCATGAAGGGTGCGCTGCATCCTGCGAAGGGTGTTCGGCATCTTGGGCTTACTTCCTTGGGTACGGATGACAGCTGCGTATGACTTGAGTCATTTTCTGGTGCTTTCATTTCCAGAGACAGTTAGAAGCACTTTGTAACTGCCTCAAGGATACTTGACCAATTTAACACCGGAGGGGGAGATTTATTTACTTCTACAACACAAAGAAGATTTTTCGCGTTTTCGCCTGAGGGTGCTTAGAAAATCTACATATACTCAAATAAAGACCGCCCTCTCGAGAAAAAACCACAGCAGCCGAAGGGGGGCTGTTGGAGTCTTTGCAGTGGATGGGAAGAGAGTAACCGGCTGAGTACATAAGCTGCAGCTGCGGCTGCTGATGCTGTTAGAGTAACACGAAAGACACGCTGCTGCACCCTCTCCGAAGGTTCACTGCTACACCACTTACATCCAAAGAACAGCAATGTGTCTCGTCAATACCCGCCCTGCTATCTTATCCCGTGCGAGATGTCCACACCAAGCTCGGGTACAACACGCAGGGAGCTGTAGCTACAAACAGGTGTTCGACCGATCGTGCGAACGCCTCGATTGTCAAGAGGCTGCTTCCGGTGCCGAACAGGGTGGTTTTGGGAAAGATAAAATATCCTCGAGAGAAGGAGAGAGGGTCTCCCTTGGACGCGTCGCGTTCTTCACCTTTTTTTTTTTTTTTCTTAATATTTTTGGATGTTGAGCAAGACGACTTCCGATATGTAGTACAACATGTAACAACAACGCACGAGGTACCGCTGTTGCAGCAGTAGTTGGCCCGCCCTGCATCTTATATGGCTATTATGCTTTATCCCTCGCGACGGAAGCGAGGTACTGCACACGTTTTCACAGTGTTTTTCCCACGCAACAAGGCCGCGAACGACGAAACGACACTTGCGGCGGGTACATGGGTTACGATGCGTTCATACGCTATGAATACGACTAATGTATATTATACATACGGAGACCAACCCCAGTTGTACAAGTAGTTGTACCAAAGGAAGTGTTGGTGGATGCCACCAATTTTTTAAACATCGATCGAAATACGAGGGGGATATGATCGATCTGCTGTTCACCTTTTCTGCATTCAGCAACCAGCTTTGTGGCTTGCAACCCTGTGCACCTCGCCAAGAACTACGCAATCGAGCACCCCCACCGCCCACATCTCACACGACAAGACAACCAGAGAGCAGACAGGACCGGCTGCTGCTGTAGAATCGTCGCACCACCGACCGCTCACATACCGTATCTGCTGCGGTATTTTTTGGGAAAAACAGCTGCGAAGACTAATCAAACCCACCTGCTGACTTTTTCAGGCTAGCCCACGCCGTGCACTTCAGCCTCCTCTGGACGCGCTTGTTCGTTTTCTGGCAAGATGGTCTCTGCAGCTGTGGTGCTCAGTGAATGTCAAGCCTAGAACACCGAGCGTGGCAATCAGATTCACGGTTCACGGTTCAGACAGGAGGCCCCGCGGATTCGAAACTGGTGTACATGCCAGTACAGTTTGCGATGCCCCTCCTCGGCGCCCGCGACAATCCTGCCGCTGCTGCCCCTGGTCTGCTCTGTGCCAGACGACGCGTGCTGTCTCTCCCCTCTCAACTCGTACCAGCGAAGCCTAGTCTTCATCCAGAAGGTAAGACGTCTCGTAGGCGGGAACATCCTTTACGGTTGTCAGGGCGTATGGTGGTTGTGGGAAGGGATGTGCTGCATCGAGTCGTTCGCTCTTTGTCATCATGTTTTCGCCACCTCTCTCTCCGTACAGTTTTGAATTTCCCGGAGCCTGACTCAAGTGCTTGTTTTCCCTACTACTACTCTGTCAGCACGCCAGACACCCCACAGCAGTCGCAGCCGGTACTGTCCTCTCTATAGGGGTTACACCTGACCAGGTTTAGAACAAGAAGTGAGCTGCTCAGGTATTCCTCCTTCGGTTCAAATCTCGTTTTCAAGCCCCACGGGCAGATGACCCAACATCAACTTGCGAAGACGCTCCGCACGCCGAACACGCCGCCACCCTCACCATGCCAGCATCCCCCCCACCCCCCCCCCTCCTTTCGCCTGTGGCAGTAGCGATGGCCGCTGCGCTCTCCAGGCCGCGGTGCGGCTTCTTGGTATGGTGCTGCTGCTGGATGCTAGTTGGCGCAGCTGCCTCTTCTCGACGTAGCAGCGCCAGCACCAGCACGAGCGGGGGATTGGCATTCCACTTGCGTTCGGCCCCTTGGGCGCGAGCAGGAGGGTCGCGCGACACACGCAGCAGCGGGAGGGGCAGGGATACCGCCGCGTTGGTGGAGCTGTCCGGGACCGGGGCCGACAGGTCTGAGAGCGTGCCTTTTTCGTTCTCACAGCGGCAGCTGTCGCGGTTTAAGGCCTGCCTCTTTGCACCTGGTGTGCTGTACGGCGATAGTGGTATATACTGGACAATGTTTGTCTTGGTTCAAGACCAGTCTCTTTTTTGCGATCTGTGTCTTTGCACCTACATGTACAAGCTCAACATGCTGCTTGTCCTGGTAGACTCTTGTTCCAAGAATTGGACACTGCAACAGCAGCGCTTCCCTTATATCAAAGGGAATCTATGAGCCGCAAGAGTTGTTCTGGAAAATGGAGAAGTAATCGTGATCTCGAAGACTCGCCTCTCCTACACGTCGCTGTGTCTGACCCTCCCCCCTGAGGTGCTTGATTGAACACACCACACACACCGCATGCCCCCTCGCCT